GAAGGCTGAGCCCCCTTTGAAGGCTGAGCCCCCTTTGAAGGCTGAGCCCCCTTTGAAGGCTGAGCCCCCTTTGAAGGCTGAGCCCCCTTTGAAGGCTGAGTCCCCTTTGAAGGCTGAGTCCCCTTTGAAGGCTGAGCCCGCCTCATGCAATCCACCATTACAGTTGGTGAGTTCGCCCTTTGTTGGGCACTTGCCGAATGTTTTCGGGAACACGTCGGGTATAAGCGTGGCTGTCATGTTTAACACACGTGCGTCGAACGGAGATGCGTGTGCATGGATGCCTTTCTCGCTTTCTGCGCGCACACTTAGTGGCATACGGCTCGCCTCGGGTGTGATGACAATGCTCAATCAGATCAATCAACTGGCGCTAACGGGGCGGATAGCTGGTGGTGTTATCGCACACTTAGAAGCTGTCGAGTGTCTCCTTATATGCGGATTGAAGGACCTAGCTGCCAAGGTTCTGTGTCTCCTTACTCTCCCTCTTATCGACCGACTATCCAGTGGGAGTCTTAACTCTGACAGTACGGACAATCGGACCTCTCAACCAACACGGCAGGATACGCAAACCGAAAGCGTGGAACAGGAGGCACTACCCGTCCGAGCTGAGACAATGCCCGCCCGGATGCTTCCCGTCGGCCTTGTCACGCCAGACGTGCTCGGTACACTCCCCCATAATCGGGTCGTTCCAGTCCTTGCCGCCAAGCCGCCCGATGCCTTCGCCTGGCCGTGGTGGACCGCTCGCGGAAGCGAGATCCAACTCGGGTCTGGCTCCCGACAAGATGTAGGAGGCCGACTGGATTTGCGCTCTCAACAAAATGTGGGCTGGAGCTCACAGGACGTCGGCTGCGAGCAAGGCAACTTGGGACTGCTACTGCAGCACCTTCAACATGTGGGACAGAGCTCCGTCATGGAAACTATGCCACGTCCGTCCGCACGAGTCTGCGTCAAGGCCCTCGGGCTCCTTGTTCAAGCGCTGCGTCCAGGACCAGCGACGTTCGGACCAGGCCCGGTAGCAGGAGCAAGACCCCCCGCGAGTACTTCATCATCAATGTGTATGAACATTTTCGGATTCTCCAAGACGACGATCCAGCTTTACATCGATAGCGTTTTTCGCCAGCACCTGGCAGCAGTCAGTCGGCGGCTGGACGCCAAGACGGGTGCGCCGTACGTGCAGCAATTGGCCCGGCTCGTGGCCGACGACCAGGGCGCCGCGGGGGGGCCGAGGAAGGCCGCGGCTTCGCTATCCAGTGACGCTCTGCAGCGTCCTTTCGGCACCGCCACGACCATCAGACTCTTCGCACTCGTGCGCGACCAACTTTCGTTTCCGCGGCCGCTCGAAGCACAAGGCTTTGATTGTCGCTGGCCATACGCCGCTGCCTCTCGAGTCCGCGCCGACCTCGACCAAGCCCTGAAGGAAGTGATGAGTCTCTACCCCCCGCCATTACTTCGCGCCCCGACGCCGGCGCCAGGAGGTCAAGGACCGGGACCAACGTTGGCGCCAGCAGGCCGCGGACCGGGACTGACGCTGCTAAGTCGGGGACAGAGTCCTGACCCGGCAGGGGGCATCCTCTTGTCGTCCAAGGCCCTGCGCGTGTCACCGGCTCCAGAGGCTTCCGCCGGTTTCGGAGAGGAAGTTAGGTACGTCCTGTCGCTCCGTTGGCCGGCCTCCGTCACGGAGTCGCTGACGACCAAGGTACGGGGGGCAGAGCTACAGGAGACGGTGAGTTGCGTGGCAATATTGGACGTGGATTCCGGGATTTTACTGCCGGTGGAAGTGCTCGAGGCGGAGGGCTGCAGAGCTCGGGTTCGAGTCCCGCCGAAGACCCGGCGAGTGGGCGGTGTTCGCATCTATCTTAATTCAGGTCTGATGGTGGACTTTTTGCGGTTTCTATTGGACGACCCGGCAGCTGCCTTAGAGGTAGATGACGTCACAGGTATCGAACCGGTAGTTTTAAACACCCACTTCGCAAGACCCATATGTCGACTCACTCTCGCACCGGTTCCAGCGCCGATCTCCGGCGAGCTGCGATGGATCGAGCGTCAGTGCTGCGTCCTTCGCGCACATCCCCTTACCTACGGCCGACGACCGCTTTTGGAACTGAACCTCCACGTCCCATCTGAACGCCGGCGCGCCTTCCTAGGCGGAATTGCCAGCAGCGACTTCAACTGGATCCTCGGCTGCTACCTCGAAAATGATGACGACACCAAGTTCAACCCCGTCCTCTTCTCCGCCGCACGTCACCCGACCACCACTGGTCCACGTAATGACGCCCGTGGCCCTAATGACGCCCGTGGCCCTAATGACGCCCGTGGCCCTAATGACGCCCGTGGTCATGGGCAATTCGCCGGTCGCGAGCCGTTGGATTACCCGTTGGATTACCCAGAGTTGTGCTGGACCCGCAGCATACCCGAACTCAAGAGCCTATTGCTGGACGAGTGCCGACGATTATCCCCGCAGAACGGGACTTTGCAGCTGCTCCTGGCGTTGGACGACGAGTTGTCGTACCTGGAAGAGACGAAGCTGGTGGCGGTCTTGCAGGCGCCGCCTGAGTGTGTGCGATGCGAGTTGGCTGCGCCGTTGGTGAATGCCACGCCCTTCGACTGGTCGCTATCGCGAGTTCCCTTCGCCGCCAGCGACCCGAAGCCGAAGATCCTCTTTGCTCTCAAGGCGGGGATTGACAAGCCCGGGATCGAGACTCGGCCGTCCAGGGCCGAGACTGGGCCCAGGACCGAGTCGCGGTCAAGGGAGGCCGACACGGGGCCCAGGACCGAGCCTGGGCCAGATGGAAGAGATGGAGGTTACGCAAAAATTGAGGCGGCGCGGTTTCTGTCGTTTGCGGTACCAACTGGGTTTCTGACGGAGGACGAGCCGTGGGTGGGAAGCGCGGCTGGACGGGCGGGCGTAGCTTTGTGGAATTCGCCGAGTAAGTTCGAGGTCGTGGCGGTCGGCGGTGACGTGTGCGATCTAGCGCACACACGTGTGTATGCGACGTCGCCTGCGTTGGCGACATTGGAGACCACGGCGGATTCGGTTGCCTTAGATCTAGAGCAATACTTCGAGGCGACTACGACCCTGGGGTCAAGTAACATCTACTTTCAAAAAGTGAACATGCTTATACTCAATTTGCTCAGTCGGGGTCTAGACATCCCCGACACCGTCCAGGCTGTCTTCGGCACCACGGAACGTGAAAGCATGCCGCCCCTCCTGCTCCAGGTAACTGTCCGGACCGCGCTGCAACGCCACACGCTCTTGGTCCACGTAGGCTGGCCCCTCGTGCTCTCCGTACTCACGTCTTGGTGCGACCACGCCGCCATCACCGAGGCCCTTGCCAAAACCCCTCTTTCCGTACCGGCCGCTGGCATGTCGTTTCCCGCTATGAGCATATCCCCTCCGGGCGAGAGCTTTGACGGCGCGGGAGCTTTGATGGGCACGTTGGTTCGGCCGATTGCGTGCCGCAATCTGCCGTTTACGAAGAAGCCTTTTTGCGCTTACCTGCTCGGACTCCGGACGCCGTCCGCGGTCGAAGTGCCGGGACGGGCGTGGTCGGTGGGTGGACGAAGCGGCTCGGGGCGGCTGGCACCCGGTGTGGCCGAGTGCGCAGTAGAAGACCCGCTGGAAGTGACCTACGTGATAACAAATCGGAGCCCGAAGATGCTGCTGCTCCGCTACCACTTCCACGACTCAGATAAGGGCCCACGCGGCTACTTGGTCGAGGGCAGCGTCGAGGACACGCTGCTGCTCTCCCCCTCCACCTACCAGCTCTTGAAACTGCGCTATCTCTTCGCCCAGAACGGACCTCACACCCTACCCGAACTGGTCGTCACTTGCTCAGAGCCCGTCCCCCTCTGGCCCCAGCTCGCTGCCCTTTTGAAGACCACGCCCAAGTCGTGGCCGACCATCACCAAATCCTCGTCCAAAAGCCTGACCATAGAGGTCTTCTGACCATAGAAGTCTTCTGACCACCAAAACGTTTGCACACACTTTTTGGGCACCGACTAGTCAGCGAGTCGCTCGCTAAATATCCCTGGTTGCAATGCGCGCCAGTATGGCCGCCTCCACACCCCCGGGGAGTCGTACTTCACCCTCGCCGATCTTGTAGTATTCCAGGAGCCACTCCAAGTCCGTTTCCCACACGTCCACTTCGTCGCGTTTCTCGCCTTCACCGACTGTCACGACTGTGGCCAAAACGCAGGCACCCGTTGGCGCTGCGCGGAACAATTCCAAGGCCTTTTCCAGCTGCCACTGACGAGACAGGCAGTAATACACTTCGTGTTCGAGCGACTTTGTTTTGCCGGAGCCAGACTGCCAGTCTGAGTGGGCTCGCAAAATCGCTGCCGCCACCACGCGACCATTCATCACCTACGGAGGAGTCCAAACATGTCTCACCAAACCAGGCATGTGCCCCCCTTTCCGCTCAGTGCCCTCCTTTCCACTCAGTGCCCTCCTTTCCGCTCAGTGCCCTCCTTTCCACTCAGGATTACATGTTTGGGGTTGAACGAGAGCTGGAGCTGGTCAATGTTGTTGTCGCGGACACTGTCCTGGTGACCTTCAGGGCGCCCGTCTGGACAGAAGCGCACGACCAAGCGACAGTCGGAGAGCTCCGGTGCCAATAGCTGGTTCATTTTTACGCCAGACAAATTTGCTGCCGGGGCCCGTCCTTTCGCAGAGCACCACCGCAAAGGGCTGTGTGGGAGTGCTCCCACCCACCGACAAAACGGTGACAGGCCCGTCCGTTCAACGCAGGTTAGAAGTAGGCGAACGCGTTGAGGATTACTTCTTTGTCGCCGTAGCCGGCCTCGGTAATGAGTTGTCGCAACAAAGTGTCTCTACAAGGAAACCCTACGTGCCGTGGAGGGGGGGAGGGGGTGGGTTACTTCGAGGTACGAGCGGGAAGAAGCTTGTTGAGTAGTCGTGTGTTGCGTATGAGAGTGGGCACTAGGACAGCAAGTTTGCGGGTGGTGCTATCCAAGACGGTAATGTTAGGCAACTGTTGCTTAGGGCTCTCTTTGGAGATTCCGGCGTTAAGTACGTCGCTGACACCGCGCCAGGATAGTTCCACCGCGCCCGGCAGGTCGAGTGAGTTCGTGCAGAGCGACACTACACCGTTACACTTCTGCGTTACTATGATGAGTGTTCGCGCTCCCAGAGACAACTCGCTTCCCTCGGTCAACGCTTCCGCCGCCTTCCCGCATTGCAGGTGTCCTTGTGGGCTCGAAGCCGCTTGCTCCACCACGGCCTTGCTCACCTTGGCCGCACGCGGGAAATTTACCTCCAGCTGCCGGTGCAATTTCAGACACTGTTCGCGGTCACCCAAGTCCGCAAAGTACTTCAACAGCATCAACAACGACCCCGGCAACGGCGCAGAGCCCCCGATGGGGCCAGAGCCCCTGATGGAGCTGGAGCCAAGGTTTCCTATAAACCCCCCCATGGAGCCGGAGCCAAGGCTGCCGATGGGTTTCATGGAGCTGGAACCGAGTCCCCCTAAAGGTCCCCCCATGGGGCCGCCCCCCATGGGGCCGCTCCCAATGGGGCCGCTCCCAATGGGGCTAGCGACGATAGGGCCCATGCCGGCAATGCCAATGGCGGGACGGGGTTCGTTGCGTTGTGCGAGATATTCGAGTGCGGTTGCGATGCTGTCAGTGGCGGCGAGAGTGATATGGGATGCGCGTATTTCACAGATGGCGGCGACAGTGGGTAGTGGGACTGCGGCAGCCCAGTGTAGGACCACCGTTTGTGAAACATTAGGGCATAACTTGCTCCAGGGTATAGTGGGGAAGGTTTTGCAGAAGGTGGCATAGGCGGAGAGAAGATCGATCGCTTCAAGCGAGTGAGATGTGGACCGACGTACTTCAGCTTGGAGCAGGACGGCGGTAGTAAGCACGGCGGCAGGTGTTTCAAATAACACTGGGGTAGGTGGACATGGTAGCCAGTGGAACCCCTGAGCATACAGCTCAGTCAATCTTAGAAATGACCGCACACCACACAATCCTTCCCAACCAAACAACTCCAACAGTTGACACAACTCTTTCTCCGCGTTATCGTATATACCCATACGAACGAACACCAACGATCTATGCAACAACACCGACGCATATCGGCTACGATCACCTGCCGACCATTCTGATGCCAAGGCGCCTTCTAACACACCCAAACAGCCTGCTAACTGCGCAGAATCCAACTTGACGAAATACTCCTTAGATTGCATATATTAAATTTCAAACCCCACCCATCGTCGATTCAAACCCCACCCATCGTCGATTGGAACCCCATCGTCGATTTAAATAAGCCCATCTTTCACCAACGAGTTCACCAACGAGTTCCCCACCCCACTCCACTCCACATCACACCACGCATACGCCCACTAGTTACCGCTCGCTAGTTCCCTCACATTTTGGCCAGCGCTCAGTAAGCTCCGTCGACAGCATGAATCATCCACCCCATCAGGGGCATGCTCAGTGGCCGACGATAGCTACCTTCGTCTTCACGCCGTGGTTAATGCTTAATGCATTGGAACTAAAGCAAGAGAGAAACTATAGAAATAGATCCATCGAGCACAGTTGCACTATAACCAAGGAAATGGTAAATTTCACCAAGTCTGAGACAGAACGTGAACGGGCAGGGGTGAACGGGCAGGGGGGTCTTGTGGCGGGTGAGATGGGTCCGGCAGTTGGCCAAGTAAGGTGACGGCCTGTCTCGGTCGGAGTTAATTTTTGGATAAAGACATTATTGAACAGAACATCTACTTATCTATACTTGAAAATGAGAGCTTTCGGCAAGTTGGCTATGGTATCTGGTGCTACTTTACTTGTGAGTGGGTTAGAGTGTACGCGACACATCGAGTTGATGATCCTGCAAGATGCGTCCACTTCTTTTTATGAGCTGGGCGAGGACATGGCCAACAAGGTAGAGACGCTGATTGACTCGCTGAACGATCAGATAGGAACTGTAGAGGCAAGTCTGGCCGTGTGGAGCGACAAACCGGTACCGTTCCGTGGTGTGGGCTACACCCGTGGCGTCCCGGAGCACCGTGAGGTAGATCGTTGCTACTTCAACGAGGCGACGTTCGCGATGTCCAGTGACCCGGCAAACCTGAAGCTGGGCTACGAGCGGGTGGATAGTGCCCAGGCTGAGGGTGGCGAT